GGTTTCCATTGCCAGGCATGTGCTAAGCACTTCATATGCCTCCTCCAATAATAGTATGAATTAGGTATCATAATTATCCTCATTTTTGGGACAAGTAAATTACGATCCAGAAGGTTAAGTAATTTGTCTAGGGCCACAAGCTAATAACCTATGGAATGAGGACTCAACTGCTTGGGTCAAAGGCTGTCCTTTGTTTTTAAATATTAAATCAATGGTTTTAATTTTATATATCCTGTATTATGACAATTATGTTTTTAGATAAAATTTATTTATGGGGGAATGTACAGATCTTAAGGATGCAATTCAATGAATTTTAGTAAGAATGTAACTATCACTCCAACCAAGATATCACCCCAGAAAGTTCTTTTATGCTTCTTCTCACCAATCTCCTCTTCCCAAACCAGAGGCAAGCATTACTCTGGTTTCTACCACCATAGATTATTACTAGTTTTGTTTTCAAATTTGCTAAAATGAACTCACACAGTATACTCTTTTGTGCCTGGTTTATTTCACTCAAAATAATTAAAAAATTTTTTTGAGAGTCAGCCATGTTATGTATAGTTGCAGCTTGTTCCTTTTCTATTGTAGAGTAGTAGTCTATTATATAAGTAAGTCACAATTATTTTCCACTTTTCTGTTGACAGACATTTGGGTTATTTCCAGCTTTTAGCTATTATGAATAAAGCTGCTATGAACATTGTGGTACAGGCCTTTTTGCAAACATACACTTTCATTTCTCTTGGGTAAATATCTAGGTGTGGAATTCCTGGGTCATGGTACAGTGGGTATGTGTAGTTTTGTGAGATGTTGCCAAAGAGTTTCCCAAAGAAGTTGTACCATTTTATATTTCTCTGCCATGAGTGAGAGTTCTAGTGCTTGCATATCCTTGCTAACATTTGGTGTTGTCATCTCTTCGATTTTAGCTATTTTTGTGGGTGTGAAAAGGTACAGTGGCCAGAGTCTGCATTCAGAACCACTGCTTGATGTCACCAAGGCCATTTTTACTTCATATAGTTAATAGCATATATATCTGCCTCTCCTACTAGATTGCATGCTCTCATATAGCTAAGATATTATCTTATAATTTTATAGTCCTCCAAAGACCTAACATAGTGCCTGAATCAGAATAAGTGTTCAATAAATTTTGGCTTGGAACAATTTCTTTGCATTTTTTTTACTCCATTTGCAAACTTTAGATCAAGAGTATAAAACAGTAGTGAGGGGAAGAGTGAGGATAGTTGATATGGCATCGTGTCTGGGGATATATTGCAGTGCACACTGGCAAGATTCAGGGACAGCTTAGATTAAAGGAGGTTAGAAAATAAGATTCTAGGTCTTATAGTTCTCATTTTACATCATAATCATCTGGGGAGCTCTGAAAAAGATGCAGATGCCTTGGCCCCAACCCAGATATTTGGATCCAGTTGGTCTGGAGGTAGCACAGTCATCGATGTTTTACAGATATTCCCTAGATGCCTCTATTGTGCAGCTAGCATCATAGTCCACTGCCCACAGTAGAATGAAATGAAGAAATGAGAGGTTAACATTGACAATAATCCCATTCATTTGTTCCAAATAGATAACAACCTGGCAACGTCTCCCTCCAGAAGTGAGATTATCACATTTAACCCTATATGTGGATAGAACTATAGTTGAATACTTGTCAACTATCCCCTTTGTCCTTTCCCAAGTAGACAGATCCTTCGTTAACTAATCATCTGTCATGGTAAAGAATCAAAATGGCACAGCACACTTGTGCTAATACCAAAGGCAGTTTTTGCGGTCTCTTAATAAACTTATTTCTTGAAGCTCTAAATAATGTTGACTCTAAACATGAATTCCCAACACTGACAAAATAATCTGAGTTTAGATGTGACAAGCAATGATAAATCCAACAGTATTGGAGGAATTTAACTTGGCTGGTCAAAGACTAAAGCCAAGATCGAGTGTTGATGCAAAATTAATAAACCAGGCCAATTTATTTTGAATTGACATTGAGCTAGATGTCGTAGTTGAGCTATAAGTCTGAGGTGCCCATAGTCTGGTTCTTCCAGAGGGCCTGCCCCTGAACTTCATTCCAGAGCATTCATCTTCACACAGATGCTGAAAGAGATTCAGTAAGGCATAGCCAGACCTCACCCCACTTGGTAAGAGCAGTAGATTCTTCATTTGAACAACTCTGCAAATTAGACTAGGGGGATTTAGAACACTCCCGTGATTTAAACACTCCCATGATTTAAAGTGATTTAGAACACTCCTGTGTACTTCGTTTCCTCCCCAGAAGACAGCTGTTCTTTGGTTTGAGATTGCTGGGAGGTGGGTAGAACAGAACAGAACAGAAATCAATCTCCCATCTGTCTTCTCACTTCAATCTTTGTTATCTTCTTAGAGGATGGAGAAGAGAGCCAAGGAAGGGGAACAATGAAAAGTTAAGGGGAAGGGAAGGCAGGAGAGAAAGGTGGCAGGAAGGAAGAAAGAGAAAACATGTGTGCCCACAGACAGAAAGAAGGGAGATTTCAGTGACAACAATGAATTAGTGTTCTGCTTTTGGTTGGTATCCATTGCTAGAGAGCTGGTGTTCCCTTTTGGGGGTGTCCTTTCAGTTTGATTCCTCGTATTTCCAGAGTTCTTTCCCTGATTCCTTCCCATCTGGATCAGCTGTTACTTCTTACCTTCAGATTTTTATTTAGCTAATGACACTCCCAGTTTAATCTCTGAGCCAGTAGGTGGTGCTTGTGGGTGGGAATGGACCACACCCTGTATGATGCCTCAGTAAATGCGGTAGCAGGACCTCCCTGTCAGTAGGTCACACTTGCCAGGAGGAGCAAGCTGCAGTGTTGTTTTTGGGTCCTGTAACCAGCTCTCGTTCTTCTGGAGAGGCACTCTAGTGCCTCAGGTGGTGCATGGGGCCCTGAGACTTCCAAGTGTGCCCTTATTCTCCACCTTAGCAGGGGCCAGTGGGAGAGCAAAGCTGGATGGGGTTGCACTGGGTGAGCCTGCCCTCAAGCTCCACAAATGTTTTTAGCAGGGGTCAAAGGTCAGTTCCCTGCCTCCGGCAAAGCTGTCATGGACGGGCTGAAGTGGCCCCCCTCAACCAGAAAATATGGGTGTGAAGGTGGGGCTGTCTGAGACCCACAGTCTGGCAGTCTGGAGCAGGCCTCACTCCTTTTCACCATAGTTTTTCCTACGGCCTCTGCTTGCCAGTAGGCAGGACCTCAAGCCAGCTGAACTGCTACCCCTTGGATGGAGGTGGAGGTTGCTTGCCCAGGATCCCAGCCTGAGCTGGGAGTGTGGACTTCCTGTGGGAGAAGGGCTACCCCTGAGCACAACATAGCTAGGACCCACTCTGATCTGCCCCTGAAGGCACACACACCTCAGTAGACTAATTCACAATAGACTAATTCACAGTAAACTAATTCACACTCTCTGTGCCCCCAGGCAATGCGATTGAGACCTGGGTGTAAGGGGTCTGGTCTGTAGGCCCTGGAGATCAATCCCTGACCATGCCAGGGTTCCAAGTTACCCATGGGGTGCCCACACTGCATCAATGTCTCTCTGCTTTGGGATTTGCCCCAATCTGCTGGAGTCACAGGGCAAGCAACACCAGGAAGGGCCAGCAGGTAGGGAACTCACAGTCCGAGACCCTTAGTCCACTGCAGGGGCCCAAAAGGAAAGTTCCGAGCCCCATCCCCTGTAGATATCTCCGAGTAGTGGTTAAATTGTCTCCCAAGATGAATCCTGAGGAGTTGAGGCCTTCCCAGGGAGGACAAAGAAAATATGGTGCCTGCTGACTGGCTGGGGTCTGTGGGCTGGAGGTGCCCTGAGGGAGGTGGGAGCCTGGCGCCCAGTCTGCAAGAGGCTCTCTGCTCACTGGTGGCAGCCGTCTCTGGGCTGGTGTCTGCAGGTCTCTCTGGCAGCTCAGGAGCCCACTAGCAATCTGAGAGGCAAGGGAGGGGAATTTTTTTAACTGCTCCACCTACCCTTCTTGCTGGTCTCCAAGCCTCTCTGATAGAGCTTAATCCCTGCTGATACCTTTCTCTGTCCAGTTCTGCTCCACAACCTCTTCCTGTGGGGTCTCCTGTGGGGGTTCAGGCACCCTTCCTTCCAACCCTCATTTGATTATTTGATTTATGTTTGTCTTTTTTTTTTTTTTTCCTCTTTCATCTAAAAATTTCTCCTTTTTGCAGAGACGCTCTGGCTGGAGGTGCTTCTTGTCCGCCATCTTGCCTCCCTCCTCACGATAATAAATTAGAGTCAAAACTTTTGAACTGGGAGGGTCCTCACACATCGTATAGTTTGACACCCTCATTTTACAGATGAAGGAACTGAATGCAAGAAAGACTATAGGATTTACACAAAGTAACACAACAGTCAGGGGCAGAGCTGGACAAGAGAACTCAGGTGTCCACCTACCCATACGTCCTTCAAAATGTTTCCTGATACTTTCCATGCTGCCCTGTCAAGTCCCTAAACAAGAAATACCCTTCTGCCTCCTCCTCGCCACCCAATCACACAACCCAGAGCCTGAAAGGACTTTTCAATGAAGTTTCGGTGGGTGGGTATCTGAGCATTCTGTGGGTGGGCATCATGAAAGGAGGCATTATACTAAGGAACAAGCTCACTTTATACCTAAATATAACACAAAGCTTACGTCTTCAAACTTTCCAAGACAGGGTTATAGAAAAGAAAGAGTTATAACACTTCTGATAATTAAATGGCAGCCCTAAGAGATCAATCATGTCTTCAGAGGCCATATTGCAAGACCAGTAACATTGACATTAATGTGTTTGCGTTACCCTTAGCAATCTGGATGTTTAATGGACTTCAACCATTTGTTCCAGGTCACCAGAGGTTAACAAGCCAGTAGTGAATATAAACATAATTGTGTTTCATGAGGCTACATTGCCAGTTTTGAAGAGCAAGAACAAAGTCCCATCAATAATCTTTACTTTCTTCTAGGAGCAAGTTGGTACATGTTGAATAAACACACTGATACTCACTGTTGTGTTTGAAGATCCTTATGGTTGCACCCGAGAGTCGGGCTCCAAGCACAAGAGATGTGTGGTTTAACTCATCACTTAAAATGAGGCAGCCCTGTGCAGAACACAAGCACACAAGCCAATAAAGAAAATGAAGGAAAAACAACTTGTGGGAACAGGAAGACACTCTAAAATCTATAACACAGGCTCCTGAAACCCTCTTTAATTTTAAAAGGCCAAGAGTTTAATCTCATGTCTATATGGATAAAATCCTATATAGCAATTAGCTAATGGAGATGGGAATCATACTAAGAGTTTCGCTCTTTACCACAACATTTATGTATGGATTTCATCAGAGAAGTTCATCTAAGATCTTGGTGAAGTACCAAGTAGAGTCTAAAAATTTGATCTTTGAGATGAAAACTGATATATTTGGTGGCGAATTATGATCTTGCTGGGAGTCTGTAATCCCATGCTGGATTATTTAATATTTGGGAGGGATTTGGTTATTCCTCCTCAAAGGGAGAGTTTTGTACAGGACATTTCAAGCTCTTGCTTTCTGATTCTTTCTCTGCTGTATTAACATCCCATCTAGATAGAAGCATAGCTGCTTTACAGTTAAACACTTTGAATTTGGGAACGTATGAATGGCGATTCAGGTTGGGGTAAGTGGGGTAAGTGGATACAGACAGTCTAACTTACTGCATATAATTAACTGTTTGAAATTATTTTTCTCTGTTAATGTAAAAATTTCTAAATTGTAAAACTGTTTAATTTTACCAAAAATGTGGAGACAAATTATTGTCGACATTTTTTTTCCTGTGGCCATACAGAATCTCTTGAGTTTTCCCTTATATTTTGGTAATTTAACACATGATGTGATTAAGTTTTTGAGAAAAGAAAGAAAAACTTCCCATATCTTCATACTGTAGACATGTGCGTGTATATTTATAATTTTTCTTTCGAAACATTTGAGGGTTATTTGTAAACCTTATACCTCATCTATACGTTCCTTATTATGTATCTCCTAAGAACATCCAAGAATGTCCTAAGAACAGGACATTCATCTACAAAAATCACATCCATGAAGTTCAATATTTATACGATACTTTCCATCTGATATGTAGTTCAACCTCAGATTTTCCCAATTGTCCTAATAATGTTTTACTGTCTTTTAAAAATGTTATCTCTCCTTCCATATTTTTCAACGCAGAACTCAATCTAAGATCATACATTTCATGTAGTTGTCATGAGTCGGATTTTTGAAAATATATAAATTTGATTGTTGCACTTGCTCACTTACAGTGAACCAACCAAACCTCCTATTCTCAGGAACAATTTCAGAAACTCTCGCGTAATTTCTATTGTAAGGCTCTTTGCAATTTGTCATCTGCCTTCATCTCTGGTCTCTCCTTCAAACGCTATCTTAAGTTCTCGTTTCTCTAAACCTATGTACTTTACACAGGCTGTTCCCACTTCTTTGTCTTAAGGAAGTAACTTTCTTACCTGTTAAAATTCTATTCTCATGTCATTATTTTTTTTGCCCAGACTTGGCAGATCTTCTCAGGAAGAGTTTGGGGGCAACTCTTTTGTCCTTCCTCATCTAGGTGTATGCCTTTGTTGTCGATTCATCCTGTTTAGTGTATTATTTCCCCTATTACACTGTAAATCACATAAATCTACAAGGCACAGGTCTTGTTCATCTTTGTATGTCCTGTATCTTCCCTCATCTTAGGACATAGTAGATTCTCAATAACTGGTTTATTGAATAATGAATGAGTAACATAGGAAAATGTTTTTTTTAAATAAATGCTTAATAAATATTTGCTACATTGCTTATGAGGATTCAGGAGCCTAAAAATTTGATTGATTTCATTAAAATATCATCAAAGATGAATTTTGACCCACATCCAGGGCTGCAAGTGTATAATCAGTAATATCATGGTGAACAGATTTGCTGGACTAAGCTGGCACATTCATTGAAAAATCCAGTTATCCAATTTGTTTCCTCTAAGAAAAGGACCTTCTCAGCTGTACTTCTAACAAGGACCCACTCAGAGTTATAATTCTTAGGAAAGATACAATAGAAGACAATTATGTTAACAAATTCTCACCTTTCCAACTAGTGCGGGGATATTCATTGAGTTAGTTGCAAATCCCATCCCAAAGACCATAGCTGCTTCTACATTCAGGAACTTAGCCACAAGGTCCTCCAACTCCTTGTGCTTATCCAAGGTACCTGCACATGAAATTATAGGAGTGAGCCTTCTCTTTTTAACAAGCCCAACATTGAAAACCCAAATTCCAGTACATACACATCACAAAATGAAAACTCAAATTCCAGTACGTATGCGTTACCAAAAGACCTGCACAAGCATGTGCATAGCAGGAATATTTGTCATTATCCCAATCTAGAAATAAGCCAAATGTTCATCTACTGTAGAATGCATGGATAAATTGTGTGACATTTATACAAGCACTGAGAAAGAACAAACCACTGTTCCACACAGCAACGTGGATAAATCTCACAAATATGTTGGTGAGTGAAAGAAGTCAGACATTTGAAAGAGCACAGGCTATGTGAGTCCATTTATATAAAGTCTGTAGACAGACAAAAATGAATCTATAGTGTTAGAAGCCAAGATAGTGGTTACTTTTGTTAGGAGCATAAGAAAGGTTTTGAGATTCTCTTGACTATTCTGAGTTTGCGTGCCTGTTACACAGGTATGTTTGCTTTGTGAAAATCCATTGATCCATATACTTATGATTGGTGCATTATTCTATCTGTATTTTATAATGTAATGAAATTTCCAAAAAATACCACAAATCTTCTCTCTTCCTACCCTACATCCCACAAGTCATTAATTAAATTATAACCTGCACGGGGTTCCCCACACCTAAATGCCAACAGATCCTATGACTTCCATAGATACAAATAAAACTAGTTATTATTTATTGAATCTTTGGAATGTACTAGATATTGTGCTAAGCTTGATATTTAGGTTATCTTATTTAATCTTAGGAGCCCAACAATGCAGGTATTTCTACTTTACAGATGAGAAAATTAAAACTTAAAGAGGTCACAGATAAAAAAACAAAAGAAATAATCTATTTTAAATCCATGGTTTATGTTTTTACCTCTCTATTACCTTTTACAAGCTTGAACTCTGACCCTTCCTTAAACATAATCCCTTCATGCTTTGCTGGCAGTAAATTTTGATGCTTACCATGTTTTGTTTGATGTCACTTGAACTTCACCATAGTCCAATATGGTAGCCACTAGCTACATATGGTTAGTACAGTGGAGGAACTGAATTTTTAATTCTATTTAATTTTAATTAATTTAACTTCTAAAACTATAGCACAGTAAAATATTTTCCACTAGACACAAATTTATTATTTTGATAGGATTACATTTTACATTAACCATTGCAAATTTAGTGTCTGAATGTAGATGTGCTGTAAATGTAAAATAGGTATCATATTTTCAAGGCTTAGTACAATGAAAAGAATGTAAAATAGCACATTGATATTTTTCATACTTATTACATGTTTAAATAATAATTTGGATATAATAGGTTGAATAAAATGTATTATTAAATTAATTTTACCTTTTTTACTTTTTGAATGTGGCTATTGGAAAATTTAAAATTATATGTGTCTTGCCTTGTATTTTTATTGGGCAGTGCTGTCTAGATGGTACATTTGACAGAACAGAAAAATGTACAAATGGAGAAATGTAATTTGCATCCAAAGAATGTAGGAGCAGTTGCTCATATTTAAGTTAGAGGAGTATTTTTAGCATATTTGGGCCATTATAAACATGCTTCCTTCAACCTAAGGGTCAATATATTTTACCATAAGGGTCAACATATTTTACTATACAGAGTGTGATATCACAATTTTATCTAAGTTGGTATGCTAGCTTCCTTACTGTGCTAACATGGTGAGGTTTTAAACATTAGAAGGATTAAATCATCAGTTCAAAGATTTGTTTTTGCATTTAATGTTGAAGAAGATGTCTGATGGCCGATCTTTGCCCTTCATCAGAGGTCATATTGTTCAGGTGGCCTTTCTTCTCAAACCAGAATGTCTTTATTCCCAAAGTTGTCAGAAGAGACAGTAAAACGAGTGTTTGAGCAGAGTCAATCTTACTCAAGATTTGGGGGAAAAGTTAAAAGTTTAAATTATAATTTCAAACTTTGTATTATCAAAGATATATTATGGAGCAGAAAGAGAAGCTGAAATTTAAGGATAAAACAGGGGCACATAATCATTTACCAAATTTGCTTTTACCTAAACAGACTGTATCCCAAAGGGCATGGTCCTAATAGCAGGTAGTGAAAAGGCCACTGACTTGGGCATTAGGCAACTTGGTTCTAGCTCCAGTGGCCTCTGGTTACTTCTGGAAATTTCCAGAAGGACTGGGAGAAATGCTCTTTTAGGCTTTCCTGACGTATGTGCTCTTTCCTTTATATAGATCTCTTTGCCCTAGAGTGAGCTCCACTCACTCTTTGAAATCCATCTATTGTGTCAGCTTTTCTCTGATGTCTTTCTCAGCTTCCCCAGGCAAAACTGGTCATTTTCTCTTCTGAGATAAAATAACTACCACAGGGTGACTATAACACTTAAGTTCAACTGAAGATTTTCTGGAATAATCTTCTCTGTTATGGAAGGAGCCCTTGTGGTACAGAGACTGAGTGTGAGATCCCATGACTTCCATAGATACTAATAGCAGTATCATAGATGTTGATAATATCATAGGTACTATGATGGTCTTATAGATATTTGTCTTGGCAACCACAGCATCTCACACATTGCTGACACATAGTAGGTGCTTATAGACTTGCATGGGATCTTTTGATTGACAAAGAAGATAAAGCTGAACTTAAAGTAGGGGAAGACACAGGAAAGAAGATCAAAAGGCCATGCAACGCCAAGGCAACAAGGTGACCAGGCAGTGAACACCAGCTTAAAAACCATCATACCTAAGAAATCCTCCAATAAAGACAGGGTGCCCAAACTTTGCCAACTTGATAACCTTTCCCATGAGCCTTTCCTGCTCAGAGGGTCTGATGACAACTGTGTCCTGGCCCAGTCACCCAGAAGTGCATGAGAAGAAGTTTATGGTGAATCTCCATGTTGTCTTTCTCTACCCTCAATCTTTCCAAACCTGCCATTCTAGGAGTTTATCTATAACAGTTGCATCATGAAATGTTCTTAGGATAATATGGGATATGTTGCCAAGCAATAAGACAGATAACCAACTAATGAGAAACGGGCATGTCTAAGACCATTCTCTGACAAATTGCTTTAAGGTCCCTACCATTAAAACTGGTTTAAAGAGAGGTAGGAGAGAGGAAATACAGGTGTCCATCTGAGGTCTCCAGACACTAGACTTTTTTTTTGGATTTCCAGTGAGCAAGTTGTCACTAAAGTGATTTTTAAATAGACCAGTTTCTATAACCAGATTTCTCTCAGCTGAGTTATGAGTTGTAAGTGGTTTTGCATCTAGGGGCTTACCTTCATTTGTATAGAAAAAAATAGTCTTCAAACCCTATTATCATGGAATTTCTCTGTTTAGTGTTCATAGCTCAGATTTCATAAATAAACTTGAAATATTTCCAGGATGATTGGACATTTTCCTCTTGAAGAAGCCATTCCTTTGAAAGTCAGACTGGACTGGTCTGGGGTGAGGGGGGTGTCTTTAAGGAGTAATGAAAATAGGGCTCTTTTATATTAAAGTGCTGCTTTCTTCCTTCTGCTCTTTATATGCAAGAAATAAAAATGTAGGAAGAGCTTGGGGAAAAGTAGTCACTAGAAGCTTGACTAGCTTTCTTTATACAAACATTCAGGCCATACCCTGATTCTGTAAAGATGTCAACTTGCAGTTGGTCTGAGTACCTGGGTAGTTCTAGAAATCATATTCAACATTTTTCTTTGATACATGAATATTGGAATTTACCAGTCCCAAGAAAGCATAGCTATAATGCTATCTGAAGGTGCAAAATAAATCCATAATAGTTTTTGTTTCTGTTTCTCTATATGACATTTTAGTCTCTGAAGGTCAATAACAGTCACAAATTGGCTAGTACAATGGCTCTCCAAATCGGTACGTTATGCATACATTGAATTTTATTTTTATCCTGATGGTTTATTTATCCAGTGGTATACTGAAAACCTACTTTTTAAATAAAAAAATAAATGCAAACTGGAAGTATCCTCTTGCCAGCTTTCTGAGTATTATTTTCATGTGCTAAGCACTGGCTTCACTGCTATGAGTCAAATCAATAAAAATTAGATTCAAGATAAAGTACCAACATTTTGTTTAGGACTATACACTTTTGTTGGATTTTTATTGATACTGACTGGCTTATATTCTTTAGTCGGAGATTGCTGTCATATTGACATATCGACATTGATTAATCACAAACAGCGTGGGTGTGTCATTAACAAGCCTGTTTTTCAACTACCGATTCTTCTTTTGTGGCACACGTGGAGACTATTTTCCAAACTGTGACTGTAGTTACCTTTGGCCCAGAATGTCCTGTTTGTAGACTGTTCCCTAGACCTGGCTTAAGAACAGACTATCATTTATTGTGGGGACCTGCCAGCTTTTGTGTCCTCATCTGGAAAATGAAAATAACAACGGTATCAACCTCAAAAAGTTGTATGACAATTAACTGAGATAAGTCTTGAAAGATTTCAGTATGGTGAGTTGGCACGTTGTTTAGTGGATGGTCTGCACTTTTTAGCGCTGGCTCCTCTAGGGGCCTCTGGACCACAGGAACGTCTTCTCTGAGACAGTGGCCATCAGTGGTGACCAGCCTGGTTATGGCACCAATGACCAGGAGACATCCCTAGAACTTTTGCTCCTTCTTAATGAAAAGGAGTCCAACATGGACTAAAAGTAGAATGCCAGATTGGGGCTTGGGTAACTTGGCAAAAACCAAAAAAAGGACTTGAACACTTCTTGCAGACCTGAATTTGTGATACACATGGCCTTTTCGTTCATTAGGTATGTGACCTTGGGCAAGTTATTGAGACTTTCTGGACACTGGTATTCTTATTCATAAAAGTAAGTGAAACTAAACACTAGGGACCTTGCCAATACTCAGTTCTGTGATTTCATTACTCCTCCTTTATTTTACTTTGATTACGTGGCAGAAAATTAAGTCTAAAAATAGTGGATGATAAGATGGGTAGGATTTATACTGTACTTTGGATGGAGAGTAATAT